CCTGCTCGAGAAGAACGACCGCGACAAGGAGATCCAGGTCAGACCCTCGTGGTGCATCTTCGGCCTTTCCTCCTTCTTCCTTCCGTTTTTCTCTTCGCGAACGGGCCGAGTCTCTTTCGGTGTCGGAAATCCTCGATCGGGACGTCGGGAGAATGGGCTCTCTGGGTGCTTTCGCTTCTCTCCCCTCGCTCGAAGAGACACCGAGAAAAACAGGCATTATCCGACTCGGACTGCAATGAAACCATACTCCGTTTCGAATCCGTGTTGAATTCCAAATCGTTTTTCGTATCAGGATGTGGAACGAGTCGTTGCCACTATATACCGTATCATGAATATAAACTGTTTTCTCGGTAGGCCGTGGTGATACCAGAAATTCTGACGTGAGATTCCCACGCCTCGATCTCGTCTGTCGGTCGAGGGAACGTCGAGCCGCGTATCTCGACCGTCACCGTCTCGCTTTGAAACCTCGTGGGAACGACGGCACGAGTTTTCTCGGCTCGCGAACCGTCGTTGCGCATCGTCCATCCGTTCGCATTTTAGAACCCGGTTCTTTTCTTTTCCGTTCCGACGGAAAGGAAATAGAAAATGAGAATCGGGAAACGGAGCGAACGAACGAGTGCAAACGACGGGATCGTCGGCTGCACCGAATCGGGAGCGATGACGTGAGGACGACTCCTCGTCGTCGTTCGTGGAGAGGGTTTGCGATCCCTCGCGCACGAAGCATCGTCCGCCCCGCGACTCCGCCATCGTTTGCTTCGTACGAAAACGAGTCAGGGGCCAGAGCGGATTCGAGCGGAAACTTTCTCCTCGAACGAAAGATACGGAGAACGATTTGTGAGTCTTAGCGCGTTTCTGGCTCACCTCGTCGACGGGCTTCCCGAGACTCACCGCGTACCAAAAATCGTGCGTACGGGCAGCTCGATCGGCTCCGACGCGGCCGCTCGAGAATCGAAGGGCCCGAAGGAAAACCAGATGCAAAAATTTCCCGAGGAAACGACCCGATGCACGTGCACGATTTTCCCTTTCTTCGAAGATAGTCGTTTCTGGAATTCGTGCGAAAAACCGCTTCATCGACGCGTACCGCTTTTCCTCGCTTTTAAGAAGACGGTCGCTAGATCGTTCACTCTTTCCCTTCGAAGCTCGAGAAAGGAAATTAGTTTCTGCATCGAACCGGCTTTCCCTTCGGCGATGTAGAGGTCGACTTGTGACTAGCTGCATGACTTTCATGTATGCAGGGAAGCCCATACACATCCAGGATGGATTTCAGTATATATTGAAGAAAAGAAGACTTTCAAAAGAATATTGGTGCTGTCGAAGGGTTGGGTGTCATGCAACTCTCAGGATGGATTCCGGAAAATCTGAGAATGTGGGAGAGCACAATCACGCACCAGATGAGGCAAACGTAAAAGTGGAGAAGTTTCTCGCTAGGATGAAGCAGCGAGCATCTTTGGAAACCACTTCCGTCCCACAGATATATGAAGAAGAAAGCAGAGCACTCGCAGAAGAAGGTATTACACACCTAATTTGAACCCTAGTATTCCTGCGCTCGGTAATGATCAAGGACGGATATGCATACATTCTTCAATTTCACTTCCCAGGGTTCCCTTTGGCTTCCATTCCATCCTTTGGGAAGGTGAAAGACAGGTTATACAGAGCTCGCTCGAAAACTTTCGATTCTCTACCGGCCACAAGGTCAGGAATAACTTTCAGCAAAGGATTGGGCAC